TCACTGCATTAAGGTAAAAAACCTGTGCAGCTTCCCCGTATGCCAGTATACCTAAGAGGATTAGCACTGTATTCCAGGCAAAGGGTGATCACACCAAATATGGATTTCATTTGTTTTATTCTTGTGTTTGCTATAGTTTCTTGATAAAAAAGGGATTATTCCACCGCATTATCCACCGCATGCTGGACTATCCCACAGCCAAGCCTCCCACCGCACCTATGTGTCCTCACTGCTTCCTTCACCCCTCTACGGCACCCAATTCCTCCTAATATTCCACCCTCCCACTGACCCGAACACCCCCACTGGTAGACTTTCACGCTCCTGCACATCCCGCTCCCATGCCACCTTTCTCACCCTTCTCCTAACAGTGGGGAACATCTCCCCTGGCCCTCCACCACCTCGCTCTCCCACAGGGCACCCTCCCACTTCCAAATCCTACCACAAACCCCCTCTACCTAATATCTGTCCCCCTGCTCCCTAAAACCACTCCTCCGTTTTCATGTGCACTCCTGAATGCCCGATCAGTGTGCAACAAGCTTACCGCCATCCACGACCTCTTTGTTTCCCGCTCTCTCAACCTCCTAGCGATCACGGAAACCTGGATCCAGGCCACTGACTCTACCTCCCCTGGTGCACTCTCCTATGGAGGTCTCATATGGACCCACTCACCCAGACCCAACAGTCGTAAAGGTGGTGGGGTTGGTCTGCTCCTGTCACCGCAGAGCACCTTCTGAGTCCTCCCAAACCCCCCCCTCTATCCTTTTCCTTCGAAGCCCACTGCATCCAACTTTTCTCCCCTACCCCCCTGAGGATTGCTGTAATCTACCGGCCTCCTGGACCCGTATCCCCCTTCCTTGATGACTTTTCCGCCTGGCTACCCTTCTTTCTCTCCTCCGAGCTACCCACCATCATTCTTGGGGATTTCAACATCCCTGTCAACACCGACAACCCGGCCACATCACAATTCCTCCACCTAACCTCCTCCTTTGCACTTACACAGTGCATACAATCCACCACCCACTCCGACGGGAACATCCTGGACCTTGTCTTCTCCCATCTCTGTGCTCCCCACAACCTCACTAACACCCCCTTCCCTCTCTCTGACCACCACCTTATTACTTTCTCTGTCTCCTCGTCCTCTGACGCCTACCCCTCCAAGTGTCATACTACCACCAGCTGTAACCTCCGCAACCTGAACCCTGCCCCTCTCCACTCTGCAGCTGATCAACTCCATGACAGCATCCTTCCCCTGTCCTGCCCCGACCTGGCCATGACTGCCTACAACAACTCGCTGTCAGCCGCCCTTGACTCGCTAGCACCTTTAACCACACGTAACATCAGACCCCGACCGCTCCAGCCCTGGCAGACTGAACACACCAAAGCTCTCAAATGACACAGTCGTGCGCTGGAGCGACTGGTGCAAAACCAGATCCCAACTAGCCTTCACCTGCTATAAATCTGCCTTCTACACCTCCTCCCTCTACGCTGCCAAACAAGCCTACTTCCTGACCCTCATCAAGACCCTCTCCTCCAATCCTCGCCGGCTCTTCTCCACCTTTAGCTCCCTACTCTCTCCGCCCCCACCTCCACCCAGCACCTCACTCACCGCCCTTGAGATTGCCAATCATTTCAAAAAGAAGATTGACACTATTCGCAGGGACATCGCCGCTGCTCAAACTTCCTCCCCACCCGTCCCCTCTCACACAGCAACCCCCTCATCACCCCTCTGCCTCACCACTGTTCTGACCTCCACCCTACCTAACATTCCTCACACTGAAGCCCCCTCCACACTCCACTCCTTCGACCTTATTACCATCGAGGAAGTCACCAAGGTCTTCTCTAATGCCTGCCTCACCACCTGCCCCCTCGACCCTATCCCCTCACAACTCCTACGACCTCCCTCCTCCTCCATCCTACGCTCCCTCACCCACATCTTTAATCTCTCTCCCTCTCTTCCGGCGCATTCCCCTCCCCTCTGAAGCACGCGCACATCACCCCTATACTTAAAAAGCCCTCCCTGGACCCAAATGACCCGAACAACCTTAGACCCATCTCCCTGCTGCCATTTACACCTAAACTCCTCGAGCATTTAGTCTACAATCGCCTAAGCTCCCACCTCAACAGCAACAACCTCCTCGATCCCCTACAGTCCGGCTTCCGTCCCCTACACTACACTGAAACTGCCTTACTCAAACTATCCAAAAACCTGCTAACCGCCAAAGCTAACGGCCACTACTCAGTGCTCATACTCTTCGACCTCTCCTCGGCCTTCGACACAGTCGACCACCCCCTCCTCCTCAAAAAGCTACACTCCCTTGGCCTCAGAGACTCCGCTCTCTCCTGGCTCTTGTCCTACCTATCACAACGCTCCTTGAGCGTTACCTACAATGCTACCATCTCCCCCTCACTCCCCCTCTCTGTTGGGGTCCCTCAAGGCTCTGTCCTCAGGCCCCTTCTCTTCTCCATCTACACCTCCTCCCTTGGCCAACTCATACACTCTCATGGCTTCAACTATCACCTCTATACCGACGACACGCAAATCTATCTCTCCACCCCTCGCCTCACCCCCTCAGTCTCCGCCCGAATCACAAGCCTACTGATCGACATAACAGACTGGATGTCGCTCCCCTTCCTTAAACTGAACCTCTCCAAAACCGAGCTGTTCGTCTTCCACCCAGCCCGCACACCATCCCCCACTGACTTCTCCATCACGTCCAACAATGCCACCATCAGGCCCGCCCCACAAGCCAGAGTACTTAGGGTCATACTTGACTTCAATCTATCCTTCCAGCCCCAAGTCTAATCACTAACAAACTCATGCAGACTCCATCTCTGCAACATCACCAAAATCTGCACGTTCCTAACCCCGGAAACCACTAACCAGCTCATCCACTCCCTCATCATATCACGACTCGATTACTGCAACTCCCTCCTCACTGGCCTGCCTTGCCACAGGCTATCCCCGCTTCAGTCGATCCTGAATATGTCAGCCAGACTCATCCACCTTAACAACCGCTCCGTTCCTGCCACCCCCCCCTCTGCCAATTCCTCCACTGGCTTCCGATTGCCCAACGGATCAAAATCCTAACACTGACGTACAAAGCTGTCCATCATACTGCCCCAAACTACATCACCGACCTAATATCTAAATACCACCCAACACTCACTCTTCGCTCCTCACAAGACCTCCTCTCTAGTTCCCTGGTCTCCTCCTCCCATGACCGCCTCCAGGACTTCTCCAGGGCGTCACCCATCCTCTGGAACTCCCTACCCCAATCCATCAGACTATCACCTACTCTCCTTTAGGCACACCCTGAAAAGCAACCTCTTCAGGGAAGCCTACCCCACCCCCTGCTAATTGACAACCTCCTCCACTCTATCCCCCACAGCCATTTCCTCCTGTACCACTATCCCCTCCCTCCTAGATTGTAAGCTCGAAAGAGCAGGGCCCTCGAACCCCTCGTATATCACATTGTATTGTTATCGTACTGTCGCATTTTCTGTCTCCCATTGTAATGTACAGCGCTGAGCAAACTGTTGGCACTTTATAAATACTGTATAATAATCATAATTTCATAAAAATAAAATATATAACTTAATTTTCTTTTACATTTATTTATTAACATACCATCACTTTACCAGTACAGTGTCACCATAGTGACACTGTGTCTTGTGGGGGGTGATCAGGATTTTTTTCTTTTACACTGTGATTGCTTTTATAGTCAAGAAGTCCCTGCTCACGGCCACACCAGTCATATAATTCCTGATTACTGCCCCACCACTCATATTGTCCCAGATCACTGCCACACCCAGGGGCGGACTGACCATTTGAGCACTCGGGCACTGCCTGAGGGCCCGGGGTCAGTAGGGGGCCCCATGAAATGCCCCCTATACCTTTTGTATAGGCTTTTTTGGGTGTGCTTTGAGTGTGGGAAAGGACACAGGGGCCCCATGATCCCCTATTGCCCAGGAGCCCCATGAGTTGTCAGTCTGCCCCTGGCCACACCAATTAACCACTTGACTCCCAAGCCTATTCTGACCCTTCTCATACGCAGTGCTCAGCATAAATGAGTACACCCTTTTTGAAAGTAAGATTTTAATCAATATCTCAATGAACACAAGAACAATTTCTAAAATTTTGACAAAACTGAATTTTAGAGAACTTTTGTTTAGCTGTTTACATGAAAGTAAGGTTAAAATAACATAGATTACAAAATCTTCAGTTTTACTCAAATTAGTTGATGCAAAAATGAATACACCCCACAACAAAAACCATGACATCTAGTATTTTGTATGACCTCCATGATTTGTAAAGACAGCACCAAGTTGTTTAGGCATGGAATGAACAAGTTGGCGACATCGATCTTTTTCCATTCTTCAACCTATTTTTGAGCCTGAATGCTGGATGGAGAGTGATGCTCAACTTGTCTCCAGAATTGCCAATAGCTGTTCGATTGGGTTCAGATCAGGAGACATACTTGGCCACTGAATCACTTTCACCTTGTTCTGCTTCAGAAATGCAACAGTGGCCTTAGATGTGTGTTTTGGAACATTGTCATGTTGGAAAAGTGCACAACGACCAAGGGCACGGAGTGATGGTAGCATCTTCTCTTTAAATATAGAGCAGTACATCTTTAACCACCTCCCGCCCGCCATATAGTACAGTGACGGGCACAAGGTAGTTCTCTCGTTCTGATAGGATGTCATATGACGTCCTTTCATTCTCACCGCGCATGTGCGGCTCAGGGAGCGCGCAGCGATCGCCGGTGCGCTGTGTCCCTCGGACACAGTGGATCACGGAAAGAGCCGAAGATGTCGGCTCGGTCATGTGATCAGCTGTGTCCGATCACAGCTGATCACATGTGAACACGGAAATGCCAGTTATCAGCATTTCTCTCCTCTCGAGCTGTCATGCTGACAACTCGAGAGAAGAGGAGAGCCGGTAATCGGCTTTCGCGGAGGGGACATGTGTGCCCTGATGATCAGTGTGGCCCCAGAAGTGCCACCTGTCAGTGTCTATCAGTGCCAGCAGTCAGTGCTCATCAGTGCCACATGCCCATCAATGCCACATATCAGTGCCTACCAGTGCATCAATGCCACATATCAGTGCCCATCTGGGCTGCCTTTCAATGTCACCCATCAGTGCCAGTCAGTGTCACCTATCAATGCCTATAAGTGCTGCCAATCAGTGTTGCCTGTCAGTGCCGCCTAACAGTGCCAGTCACTGCTGCCTATCAGTGCTATATATCAGTGTCATGTATCAGTGCTGCCTTTCTGTGCCCATCAGTGATGCCTGTCAATGCCCATCAGTGCAACCTACGAGTGCCTCCTCATCAGTGCCGCCTATCAGTGTCCATCACTGCAGCCTCATAGCGCACATCAGTGAAGGAGAAAAATCACTTATTTACAAAATTGTATAACAAAAACTAAGAAAAAACGTTTTCTTTTCAAAAATTTTCAGTGGTTTTTGGTTTGTTTAAGAAAAAATAAAAATCCCAGAGGTGATTAAATACCACCAAAAGAAAGCTATCTGTCTCAAAAAAATGATAAAAATGTCATATGGGTACAGTGTTGCATGACCGCGCAATTGTCATTCAAAGTGTGACAGCGCTGAAAGCTGCAAATTGGCCTGGGCAGGAAGGGGGTATAAGTGCCCAGTAGGCTAGTGGTTAAATTCATGATACCATCAATTAAATGTAGCTCCCAGGAACACTCATGCAGCCACACAGAAGGACACTGCCTCCACCATGTTTCACTGCACCATGCATTTTGCTTTGTACTCCTCACCTTTGCGACACCATACAGTTTTGAAGCCATAAGTTCCAAAAACATTTAGTAGCCTTCTTTTTCAACATGGGCCCTGGCAATTTCTAGGCAGGCTTTTTTTGTGCATAGGCTTTAGTAGAGGCTTCCTTTGTCGATGACACCCATGTATGCCATTTCTCTGCAGTGTATGTCGTATTGTGTCACGGGAAACAATCACCCCAGTTTGGCTTTCTACTTCTTTAGCTAACTGCTGTGAACTTGCATGGCGATTTTCTTCAACCCTTCTCCTCAGAAGACACTCCTGTCAAGGTGTTAACTTCTGTGGATGGCCTGGACGTCTCTGTGAGATGGTTGCAGTTCCATCTTTGTTACGTTTTTGTATCGCTTTTGCTACAGTATTCTGACTGATAAGTAAAGCTTTACTGATCTTCTCGTAGCCTTCTCCTTTCTTGTGTAAAGAAATTATTTTCTTTCTCAGGTCTTGTGACATTTCTCTTCCATTTGGTGCCATTGCTGACAGCATGAAATGGGAAGGGGTGTTCTATGTTAAGTAACGCCCTTTTATAAATCAACTCTCTGCTGGACACGTGTTTAATGACTAATTAGACTCACCTGTAGTTGAATTCTTGTTAATTAGGATTTTGTTGTGTAAAATGTAGCTTTTCTCTTAAGACTTTCATTGGTGTGTATTAATTTTTGCAAAATGGTCTTGAATGAATTTGCTTGGAAAAATACTTTTTCGTGTGTGCAAATTAAGAAATCTTGTTTGCACTCAATGGCCTGTATTTGTGGGAGTATTTTGTAGTATAGTGTCCCATGTAAATGATTCTGAAAGGAAAGGAAAGTTTTTCTGACAGATCTGTTGGAGTGTAGTCATTTATGCTGAGCGCTGTACAATGTACCTTTTTTTTGTAGATAATAAGTTAGAACCCCCAAACATTATATATTTTCTGAAATCAAAGGCTCAGGGAAAAAAATGTTGGTTGTTGCAATTTTTATATCACACGATATTTGTGCAGTCGTTTTTTAAACACAATTATTTGGGAAAAATTACACTTTATTGTCTTTTACTGCACACAAACACAATATAATACGCTCGTAAGAGTAGGGCCCTCTTACCCCTCGTACGCTGTCTGTCTTTGTTGTACTGTGCCATGTATTGTCCCCCCCTATTGTACAGCGCTGAGCAAACCCTTTGGCGCTATATAAACTCGTAGTAATAATAATAATAATAATACCCTATTGTTTTTTAAAATATAAAAGATGATGTTACGCCAAGTAAATAGATATCTAACATATTGCACTTTAACCACTTGCCCTCCAGAGGATTTACCCCCCTTCCTGATCAGGCCATTTTTCGCAATATGGCGTTGCGTTACTTTAACTGACAATTGCGCAGTCATGCAACACTGTACCTAAATTAAATTTATGTCCTTTTTTCCCACAAATAGAACTTTCTTTCGGTGGTATTTGATCGCCTGTGCATATAAACAAAAAAATACCAACAATTTTTATTAAAAAAACAATTTTTTGTAACTTTTTGCTATTAAAAATGTCCAGTAAAAAAAAATTAAATAATCATTTTCATCAAAAATTTAGGCCAAAATGTGTTCTGCTACATGTATTTGCTAAAAGCAATCCCAATGGAATGGCGACATAGTATGGTACTTAAATAATCTCCATAGGCAACACTTTAAAAGCCTTTACAGGTTACCAGTTTAGAGTCACACAGGAGGTCGGGTGCTAGAATTTTTTCTCTCGCTCAGACGTTTGCAGCGCTGCCTCACGTCTGGTGCGACTGCCGTTTACATGTGTGCTAGACCAGCATTCGCATTTGTGCATAAGCACAGGGGGAAGGGGGCACTTTCATTTTTTTTATTGTTTATTTTATTTAAATTTATTTTTTTACACTGTCTCTATTATTATTTTTTTTTTGCAACTTTATTTCTATCACGAGGGATGAACAACATCTCTTGTGATAGCAATAAGCATGGGGTCCTCCTTTTGAAGAGATCTGGGGTCTACTAGACCCAGGTCTCTCCTTTGCTCTCAAACTGAGATCGGTTTGATCAGATGCTTTCATAACTTATAATGGCTTGTAAACAACAAACCGAAACAAAAGGGACAAAATGCTTGTCGCTTCTGGTTTCATAGATCATGGAGATTATCAGGGATCTTTCATGTACCAGTAGGCTAGGCTTGCTTGGCTTATAGGAACTGGGGCTGCTATAGGTGACTCTACACAATGCTATATTCCCTGACCACTCATATAGACCTGATCATTACAGTACATTGGTTTTGACACAATTGGTTGATTTTTTAGTGATCCACAAGATACAATGTCTGGTATATAATCCAGACACTGAAAAACTCTCACATATGTGGTATCCTCATACTCAGGAGGAACAGCAGAATGTGTTTTGGGTTGTAATTCTATGTATGTCCATCTTGTATGTGACTAATAAATTGCCAACTTTGCGTAAAAAGATATTTTCGTCTTCTTTTCACAATTCCCAAAAGCTTGTGGCAAACTCACTATGCTTTTCAGAAAATACCTTGGAGTGTTTGCTTTCCAAAATGAAGTTATTGTATGGGTTTTTCCATTCTCTTAGTGCTCCAGGGCCTCCAAAAAAGTGATAAGTAGTCAGGAAATTAAATATGTAATTTATGCCAATGGAACACTTGAAGGTGCTCCTTGGAATATGGGCCTCTTTATGCATCTAGATTGAGAAAAAGTCTCACATGTGGTATCCCCATACTCAGAAGGCATAGCAGAATGTGTTTTGAGGTGTCATTGTAATTATGCCCATGTTGTATGTGAGAAATAACTTGTTAAAATGACAACTTTGTGAAAAAAAAAAATCTCTTAATTTAAAAAAAAATTGTGACACAAAATTTACAGCTTCAAAAAACTCGCCATGCTTCTTAATAAATACCTTGGACTGTCTACTTTACAAAAAGGGGTCTTTGGGGGGGGGAGTGGTATTTGTACTGTCCTGGAATTTTAAGGCCTCAAGAAAGGAGATAGGCCGTCTACATCAGGACTGATCAATTTTCAAATATGTAGACCATGATTTGTCGACTCTGTTGTGGGGGGTCGGCAAGCCCTCGACCACGGAAAGCCAACAGTTCAATCTTGACCACGGCTCTGTCTCCCCCCAGCCTCTGCTGCTCACATGTTACCTGCAGGGTGGAGAGAGGGAGGCAGCATAGTGCCGGATGGAGGGCGGCAGATGCTGCTCAGTGATTTGTTGCTAGGCAGTCTTGGCAACCAATCACCAGGTTGGTATTATGTACTCCAGCAGCTCCTGCATTCCACCCAGCACTGTGCTGTCTTCTGAACTCCGCTCTGCTGTACACACGTACATGTGTGATGTGAAGGGGACACAGGAGACACTGGGGGGGATTCTGATGAGAAAAGAACAGAGGACACTGCTTTAGGGGATGGGAGGCAGAGGACACTTTGTGGGGGGCAGAGGACACTGCTTTGGGGTGGGGTGAAGAGCACTACATAGTGGGGGGGGTGTTGTGAAGGGGGGCAGAAGACACTGATTTGGGGGTACAGGACACTACTATGGGGAGCAGAGAACACTACAGTGGAGGGGAGGTGATGTGAAGGGGCAAAGGATACAGCATTAGAGGGTACAAGACACTAGTGGAGGAGCAGAGGACACTACAGTGGGGGGGTGACATTGAGGGGGGCAGAGGACACTACTGTGGGGGGGGGGGTTGATGTGAAGGGGGGCAAAGGACACTACTGTGGGGGGGAAGTGACGTGAAGGGGGCAGAGGACACTACTGTAGGGGGGGTTGATGTAAAGGGGCACAGAGGACACTACTGTGGGGGGTTGATGTGAAAGGGGGCAGAGGACATTACTGTGGGGGGAAGTGACGTGAAGGGGGCAGAGGAAACTACTGTAGGGGGGTTGATGTAAAGGGGGGCAGATGACACTACTGTGACACACTATCTGTTCTTCATGCCGTTATTGTTCTAGTTTTGTTTTTAAGGGTGCTGACTAGAACCCCCCCCAGTAGATCTCAACCTCTGAAAGGTTGCCTATGCCTACCCCTGCTCTATAGCTTTTACAAAGACTAAAATATATACCGCTTAGGTTACTTTTTTGCCAAGTAATGTAGTAGAGTACATTTTGGCCTAAATTTATGAAAAAAGATTGTTTATTTTCAAAAATTTTGAACAAAACCTAAGAAAAACACTTTTTTTTTTTCAAGATGTTTGGTATTTTTTCATTTATTTTGCAAAAAAAACAGTGGTGATGAATTACCACCAAAAGAAAGCTATATCTGTCTCAAAAAATGATTAAAAAAAATGTTCTTGGGTACAGTGTTGCATGACTGAGTAATTGGCATTCAAAGTGTGACAGTGCTGAAAGCTGAAAATTGGCTGGGCAGGAAGGGGGTGAAAGTGACCAGACAATAAATGATTAATGCATTCCTGCTTTGTAGCCATTTTAACAATGCTTAGGAAGTTTGCACAGCAAACAGAAAGGCTGTCCACAAGGTTTAGGAGGGTGTCTATGGGAAGGTTTGACCATTCTTCCAGAAGCGCATTTGTGAGGTCAGGCACTGATGTTGGACGAGAAGGC